TACTTCAGTCTGTGTGCATTGAATTTATTTAATACACAAGTTTCACAATTTGAGTTGAATTACTGAAATAAATGAACTTTTCCACGACATTCTAATTTATTGAGATGCACCTGTATATGTGTGTGTGTGTGTGTGTGTAAATATGTATGTATATGTATGCAGGGGCGCCACTAAGGGGGGGAAAGTTAGGACGATTCCTAGGGCCCACGCACTTTTGGGGCCCCCAGAGATCTGTTGTATTAGTAGTAACAGTAGTAGTAGTAATGCAATAGAGGGGGGCAAACCGAGCCGGACGATTTGGTCAGTCGCACTTTTAAATACATTTTAATTTAGCTAAAGAAAATCTACAAATTCATACTCTGATTACATAGAGCAGCAGCAGGAAGCGTGTGAGGTTGTCATGGCAACCTGATACATTGCAAGCGAATTATGGCTGCGCTTCTATTTTGCCACACTAAACTTAGCAATTAACACGTTGAAAATAATACACAATAAACATGTCTTTTTAATATAACTGATTAAGCAGTCAAATTCATTCCATATCTGCAGAATAGTGTGGTACAGAAAGTCTATGTCCATAAAACAGGTTCTGATTGAATTATGTTACTGATACCTAATGGTCAAAAGCAATAGCAAAGTTCAATATTATTAAACAGCTGAACACCTCTGGTGTGACTAAATGCAGACCTTGAGCCAAAACCTCATCACCAAACACCAATGACTTGTTCATATGCGTACAATCATTTTAGACACGTCATCAATCTTTTTTTTTTTTACCTTGCCTTATACACAGAGGCATTGGTGTGTTAGAATAGAAAATGATTCTGTCCAAACTATTGGTATAAAATTAGAAGCACACAATTCCCTAGAATAGCATAATATGCTTAAATATTAAGATTTGTACTCGTGGAAATTACTAAAGTAGTCAAACCTGTTCATTAGAAGGGGGTGTCCCAATACTTTGGACAATATAGTGAATCTTTGGTGCGGTAGGGGGCCCAACCTCATATTCTTTCATAGGGCCCAAAATTGCTAGCAGCGCCCCTGTATGTATGTATAAAACATTTCAGCAAGGCGACATTTCTCATTTTCGTTTAGTTTATCTTGATGTACTAAAATAACAACAACAACAAAAAAAAACGCTTTTTATGCATTTTTGCCGTTCATTTACATGACAGTGGTGTTTTGGGGGCCTGAAAACACAAACTTTTGAAAACAGACTTCAAAGTGCACGTTTTTGAAAACAATACCATTATTGTCTCTATGTAAATTACAATAATGTGAACTTGTAAAAATAGTGATGTCATGCGCATGTGTGTTACATGTTCAGTCTATAGGTATGAAATTAAATGAAATATACTTTATTGTGCGCAATAAAGTATATTTAAAAGTATAAGGTAAAGTATATAATGTATACAGTATGTGCGCAAACGCCACAGTGTTTCTTTACAAAGGTACATCGCCAACTACTGGCCTGGCATGCATAATACAGCGTTTTTAGTCATTTACGCGGATCCCAGTGAACAGGGATCGTTTTGTCAATGTTGTCATCTGTACACAACACTTTCCTAAAATGAAAAGGAAAACAAAATTTTTTTTTAGTACATCACTGATGTCAAAACATACCCTAAAAACAACAAAAATTTATAAAAAGGACAAAAACACAGTAAAATTACTAAAACTTTAACTAAAATTCAAATGAAAACATAACATATACAAATAAAATCTAATTCAAAGTATTAACAAAAACTATTATAGTATCTCAATGATATGAAAATGACACTGCGTCGTAACTCTGACCTCCTGAGACCATTCCCTCTTTACGATCAAAGCAGCTGCATAATCATTTTCATTTAAAAGTCTCTGAAAAACAGAGATCACAGAAAATGGGTATGTGTGTGTGGTGTGTCGTTCCCAGCGCGGATCGCTCTTCCTGTGAAGATTCAGCCTCACGATCGCTCTCACAGTAGAAACGGGGGGAAGGGAGATACACACAATAGAGAGAGAGGTCAGAGGAGCCTGACTCGCACGTTTGTCTTCTCTTTTCACTGATCCACGTCTTTCAGTGTCGCTTGGGCCAGCTGACTGCAGCTGTGGCAAAGGTTGAGTGTCACACCCCCGGGGTTAAAGGATTTGCTCTCTGTTGCAGGAGCTGGTGAATAAAGGGGGTCACGGGGTCACGTTAAACACAGACTCTGTCCTGAACACGCCTGCTGGGGAAGATCCGAGTTTTAGTGATCATTTGGATAAAGATAATGATTACGTCTCCTATATCGCTGTCCTAAACAAACTGCTCACTTCAACTCTGAGGTGATGTGAAAACGTCATACTGAATGATGAGATAATCATTCTTGTTTCTCCACAACCATTAATCAAACACATTTTTCACCTGGGAGACAAAAAAATGTGCGAAAAAAGTCCTGTAGACTTAAACTGAAGGAAGGACCTGAGGCATACAGGCCTAAATCTTGGTAACATGTAACATTTAGGTACTAATATGTACACTTTAGGTTTTAATATGCACCTTTAAGGTAATAATATGCACCCTTTAGGGGTAAATAAGGTACAAAAAATGTACCTTTTTCAAGGTACCACCCCAGTGACAGCTTTTGTACCTTTTTTCTAAAAATGAGGAAGACTGTGATTTCTAGGCCTGAAAATGAATGAAGTCCTAAAACAAAAGTGTGACCCTGGACCACAAAAGCAGTCTTAAGTCGCTGGGGTATATTTGTAGCAATAGCCAAAAATACATTGTATGGGTCAAAATTATCGATTTTTCTTTTATGCCAAAAATCATAAGGATATTGAGTAAAGATCATGTTCCATGAAGATATTTTGTAAATTTCCTACTGTAAATATATTAAAACTTCATTTTTGATTAGTAATATGCATTGCTAAGAACTTCATTTGGACAACTTTAAAGGTGATTTTCTCAATATTTTGATTTTTTTGCAAAAAAAAATAGCAAAAAAACTATATTCAAATAGTTGTATCTCGGCCAAATATTGTCCTATCATAACACATCATACATCAATGGAAAGCTTATTTATTCAGCTTTCAGGTGTAATAAATCTGTGTATAAATCTCAATTTTGAAAAATTGACACTTTAGACTGGTTTTGTGGTCCAGGGTCACAAGTATATTTTACTAGTTATGCCAAGCTCTAAAAAATTTTTATCAGGTAGAAATTGTAAAAACAGTAAAAAAATTAAAAAAAAATCCTTATCCATTAAATATAGCTATGCCAAACTAGTTACGCTAAGCTCAAAAATATTTTATCAGGTAGAAAAATCCTTATCCATTAAATCACAAACGACTGGAAGAGCCATGTAAATTGATTAGTTAAAAACAGTGGGAACCCTGAAAAATATAAAAACTACTAAAACTTCTGGAATCTTGAAATTATGATGAATTATTTTAGAATTTTTAAATTTCGTTTTTTAAATATATTAAAATAAGTTTGAAATACAAAATGTTCTTCCACAACAGACAACAAACTTTTTGGTTGTTAAAAAAAGGTGCGCTCGTTCTAAACAGTTGCATTCGATCCTTTGCTGGCTGTGCTGATTTAAATCTAGTGGTTCTTTTGTGTTTGTGGCGCAAGTTCAGTGACGCAGGTAGTGACGATTCTCTCCGGCCAATCCGTGATCAGCAGAGTTTACACGTCACGTTTTGGTAACGGTACGGTTCACTTGGAACCCCAACCGAGGTGGTACTAAAAAAAGTACCAGGTACCAGGTACTGTACCCAGTGGAAAACCCCCCAAAAGTGAACCGTACCGAGCCGTACCGTGCCGTACCATGCAGTGGAAAAGCGCCAAAAGAGTCCAGGGGCGTGACAGCTACAAAGCCTTTGAATATTGTTTTAGACAATGTGGGGGGCCTTGGACTCAAAATCATCGAGGATCTCTGACCTAGAACAACTAGCAAGCATCTAAAACCAGAAGTCTAGTCAGGACCAGACCAAAACTAGACCCCTCGAGACCCAGATCCAGACCTCAAGTCTTCATGCAACAATGTATTGATAAATTTTTTCCCCCAACTGTTTACTACTCACTTAAGACACAACTGACTGTAAATACTCACCAAGACAGGAATTGTGACATTTTTGTGAGGACTTAAGTGATTAGATGCACACTGTTTAGAAGCAACGTTATTCATAACTAACTCGCAGATCTAACTGACTAATTCACTCATTCAAATACAACAATCTGTGAAATGGAAAGTGAAAGCAAACGTCAAAGAAGAGCATGTCACACAAACCCAGCAGCATCTGTGGAGTGTAAAGTGTTTTAAGAGCTTTGGGATGCTCCAATCCCTGGGAAAAAACTCACAAAAAAAGGAGCTGTCAATCAGAGCGCGGGGGATGGG